CCACAATAGGGCTAAAGCGCCACCTGCTGTAAAACAAATGAAATGATTAGTTCAAGATTCGTTCACGACTCGTTCATTTTACTGTTCGAGAGTCAATGATTCGAATCAATAAAAAGGGTCGGTCTTCCTATCACTAATACGGAGGCCCAAAAGCGACACGGGGGATAAATTAAAAAAACGTTTCTGGCGCTAACTTCCAGGTTATATTTTTTTAAATTTATTATTATTATTATTTAATATTTATTATATAATAAATATTAGTTTTTACACGTCCCTTCGGGGCCTCCGTACAAATGCTACACCGCTATTCTCAGTGAAAGCACTGACTATTTTTATTCTACCGGATATTAAACTCCAGCGCAGTACTTCACGACAGTAAGAACAACATTTTACTATTACTACAAATACTACTACTACTTAAAATAGTGGTTACAAATAGTTTTAAAAAAGACAACGAAGACCAAACTCACCAGTACCAGCGACAAACCTGTGAAACCAAACTTTGCAGCTGTCGCCGAGCGACCGCATCACGTGATGATGACGTAATGATGACGTGAACATCCAGGACAGTTGACTTTTCTAGAACATTCATTTTTATTTTCGATTATTTTAATATTTTGAGCGAACCACGTTGATTTCATACGCAAAAACAAACAAAAAAAACACGTGACGTGTGACAGCCAATGTTCCTACTTTATTCCTACAGGGAATAAATTTATTCCTACAGGAAATAAAGTAGGAAAACTGTCGACATTGAAGTGAGACGGGAAGTTGTGACAGCTGGTGGTCAGGTGAGGTATAGCAGAGGGCGTAGCTTAGCATAAAAAGTACAGTAAAACAAAACGTAAAAGGAGACGGTGACGTGTTACACGTCGGTGGTTAAGACACTGTCATGGCCGCTCACTGTTGTTTACGGTCCGCTATAACTACTGAAATGACGTCAGCTGTGACGTTTGTGGAAGGCAGTAATGGTCAGAGAAGATAGTTATGTTGTGTTTGCTTCTTATTTTCAGACGTATTTTTTAAAAAAAGATTAAAAAAAACATGTTTTAATTTTAATTTTTTAAAAATATATATATATTCCATGTACATTTTATTATTATGTTCTGAACCTTGAATTAGAATAATTTTTAAATCAAATCTTTGCATTGGTTGATGTTTATCATCTCCTGATTGGTCAGATCCTACACTTGTGTACTTTGAGATAAAAACAAAAAATTTCATCGCCATTTTTTGAGATTTTTTAATTCAATTTTCTTTCTTCACTCACTTGCAAAAAAAAAAAAAAAATCAAACATTTTAAAATAAAATGTTTATGATTCCAAAGACTCGGCCACCTCCGTGTCTCAAAGGACTGCAGCGCTCATCAGGACTTTTCAAAAACACGATCCAATCAAACAGCACGTCTCTCCGACTGTCATCTCTGCGGTGTGTTCATTTATTCAAACGTTGACTCTCACTGATCATGAAGAAAACAAAGGTGTGAAACGGAAGTGAAAGTTTTCAACAGGCGTGTTCCCGGGGAACGTCCCTCAGGTTGTGGCCTGGACGCTCCAGGCAGAGTTCGTGAAGATCCAGGCCGTCCTCCAACAAACAGCCCAACTTAAAGCCAAACGCCTGGAAGTCCTTACCGAAAAAAAAAAAAAAAAAAATCTTAAAATAAAATCCTCTACTTCTTCTTCTTCTTGCTCTTCTTTCCTCCCTCCCCCTGCTGGGAGCCTGTGTCTGCGCCGCCTTTCTGAGTCCGAGTCTTCAGTTTGGGGATCATCTCGGCGACATACAGCATCACATCTTTACCTGGAGGGAGGGAAGGAGATAAAAAATAAGGGTCAGGGTCAAACAGGAACGAGCGTAAACCAGAGTTTGGGACTCGGCGGAATGAAGGACGTACGGGAGCGGAACTTGTCCTGACAGAGGGCGCCGTCTTCCTGCTTCAGCTGGATTCTGATGCGACCTCTGAACTGGGCGTCTCTGTTCCACTCTCTGGGATGCATTTTGTTCTGAAAAAAGAAAAAAATTGAACGACTTCAGTTGTGAAGAATCAGCATTTTTGAACTTTTCTCCACTTTCTGTTACGGTCTTAGCCCCCCCCCCAAGGTTTTTCATATTTTAAATATATTTTTGTATTGCAAATTTTTCACTATCAATCTATGGTTTTTGCAGTATATAACATTTTTTAAATTTCCGATAATTTTTTTGTGTGATTTTCGTGATGAAATAAGCATTTTCAAACACGATTTGCGAACATTTCGTCATTTTTTTTTGCCATATTTGACGACCTACGATACCTCTTTAAAAGTTTGTAAAGAGTTAATATATAAGTAAATAATATAATAAGTATCGCATCTCTACTTACGTGTTTTTTTTGCTAACACCCTAACAATAGACGACATACTAGATAGACGAAGTACTGGTACAGTCAACTGCAGTATCTAGTATCCGTGTGAGGTTTTTTTTACCTCCATGTAGACGTTCGCCCCAGCTGCCGTCAGGACGTCTCTGATCTCAGTGCAAGACGGATTCTCCACAGCCTGCAGACACGACGACAACAACGACAACTGAAGTTACTGTAGCGGTCACCTCCATAGGTTCAAACTGGGACTGAAAAAAAAAGTCACCTTCTCCGCGGGGATCCTGCGACCCTCGGCCAACGTCTTCTTACTGTTGATGTAGACTGGGTAGAGACAGATGAACCTGGAGACACGAGAGTCGGAAGAGTCGTTAAAGTTTTTGCTTACTGACTGATTATTTATAGCAGTCAAACATAAGACCCGCGGGCCGAAAGTGGACCGCTAGGTGGTTCAAAACGGCCCACTTGATGATTTTTGTGAAGCGAAAAAATGAACACTTCGTGTTGGCGATGTGTTGTCGAATTATATTTAATTAATATACGAATATCTTCTAATATTTGTACTTATGACCCGAAAAACATGGACCCAAGTACGAATGTATGGTGTTGGGTAAAACATGTTTTTAGCCTTATAAATGCGACAGTTTTTTTTGTTTTTTTGTTTTCTTCTCCAGCAGTTTTTTCCATCTTTTAACGCAAATCTCCGCTAAAACTTGAAAACTATAATTAAACACAAACAAGAGGGGGGTGGGGCGCAAAAAAAATCCACACTCGTATCTACACGTCATGCTAACAGACCCTCAGACACCAGAACAAACTCACAGAAAAAAATAAATAAACAAAATTAAAATCTGTCACATTTCCTTAACGAAATCTTTTCCACAGTCTCCTACGGTAAAATGTAGTATTTTAGAAAAATATTAAATATCACAAACTCTAATTTTAAGTACGGGCTTCGGTAAACCGCACAGAAAAAGAACATTTTATTTAATTTTACGGACTAAAATCCGTCCGTAAGTCATTGTGATTCCGATTATATGTAAAATACCAACACATTTGTGCAATTTCGTCGCGGTGACACAATGGAAATTCAGTATTTTACCGACATTGTCATTACGTTTAGCTTAGCCTAGCCTAGCCATGCTAACAGTTCCAGATCCTCACCTCTCTTTCTCTGCGGGGTTCTGTGTTAGGTGAGCCATTCTGAGTTTAACACAAGAGACCGACCGGCCCTCGGCTTCACAACGCGATAAAAAAAACTACGGTTATTTTACGCGCTTTCACGCAGTTAAACACTTGCATACGACCGCTTCTGTGACACGTTCACAACCGACCAGCGTTAACGGGCGCGCGCTCCCGTCAGCATTGGTCTAACGACGAGGACGAGCGGAAAAGTCTCCTAATCCTTGAAACGTTTCCGGCGAAGGTACAGTGTAACACTGCTCTCTGTCGGTGATTTGAAGATATAGCACTTGAATACAGTAATAAATATGATAAAATAATTAAAGTCCCCAAAGAAAAAAAACAAAAACAAATGTATACTACTTTTAATGTATTTCCAAGCTTGTAGTTTTTTTCTTACATTTTTATTTAAATAATTTATTGTTGTCTGTTGTACCTAATGTTAGCTCTGGTGTCTGTACCAGGGCTGTTGTAGCTAACATTAGTTGTAGTGTTTGTACCAGGACTGTTGTAGCTAACATTAGTTGTAGTGTTTGTACCAGAACTGTTGCAGCTAACGTTAGCTCAGGTGAACGAAAAACGAAAAAATAAGAAACAGAGCAGACACTTCCTCCAGACCTGTCAACGACCTGTTTTATTCACTGCGACTGATGTTCAACACTTTTTTTTATTTTTTTTTTATTTAAACGTTGTGTAGCGCTGCTCCCTGAACACACATTTACCAGGTGTTACGATAATGAGGACGAAAGAGCTTGAAAAGTTTTCCCAACGGTGTGTACGGCCAGTGTTTTCTCCAGTTTCAGTCTCCCTGCTCAAGGGCTAAAAATGACGGGCGAGAAAAAAAAATCCACAAAAGTGAAATGTTGAGGTTTAGAATTCCCCAAACCAAAAACGTGGAACCAAAAAATCTCTCTCGATCGTCTTTCCCTTCGGAGTCTGATCTGAGCTCAAACAGATCCTTCAACATGACACCAAGAACAAACACAGACAGGAAGTGAAATTAAAATTTAAACCACGCAGCCGTCGTGTCCAGAATCTTTACAAATCTCTCTCTCGTTTGTCCGAAAAAATCCGGAGAAAAACAAAAACAAAAAAAAAAATGGAAGAAACTCCTGAAAGAAAATGCTGATTCCGTCAGACGAGAAACCTCGTTTTAAGTCTTTCACTCCGATTGAAAATGAAGTCTTTCTTCGACCGCTGTTCTGAAGTCACGGACACACTCTGTCCACTTGGGGTCGCCAGTTCCTGCAGTTTTAATTAAAGAAGGAGTCTGATGTTTCAGTCTGCTGCTCCTCCTCCTCAGTCCAGCACTTAAGTACCGCGGTTTTTCCTACTTAAATCCCCGGATGCGACACGCTAGATTTAACCCTTTAATCACAAAAAATTTGTTGAACTGGGGCGAAAAAAAAAATCAACCAATCACCAGGCTTTTCGCATTTTTCTGCATTTGTCGGTAAAATAATCTAGTGTTTTTGAAAAGACAGAACGACCGCATCATCTCCACCAGGTGTTCTCAAGCTATGGTTCACACACCATTAAAAGACTGCTTTATTTACTGCATCGATAGCAGTTCTGTCTGCGATAATTCGGAGTTGTGTTGAAGTACCTGTTGTAGTACTGCTTCATCTGTACTGTACTGTAGCCTCAGTCTAAAAATCTTGTGAATTTTGTGGAAGGTTAACCTAGCTTTAGCACTAAGCTAATGTTTTAGGTAAAGAAAACCCCATAAAACCCAATAAT